CCTCTGCCTCTGCCTCTGCCTCTGCCTCTGCCTCTGCCTCTGCCTCTGCCTCTCTCTCTCTCTCTGCCTCTCTGCCTCTCTGCCTCTCTGCCTCTCTGCCTCTCTGCCTCTCTGCCTCTCTGCCTCTCTGCCTCTCTGCCTTTGCCTCCTGAGTACTGGGATCAACATTTCCAGCGACCTGGGGAACACTCTACCTGATCTGAACACACAGTGAATTGTTTATTTCCAAAGTCTACTGTTGATGTCAACCAGCAAGTATTTGTTATACCCCACAAAGAACCTTTGAACTTTTGTCAATAATTAATAATTAAAGAGACTAGATTTAAAGTCTTTTCTCCCTACCAGCCAGTTAACAAAACTTTATATTGACTTGACTGTCATTTTATTGATTCTATGTTAACAAATATTTTCTAGGGGGGAAATAAGCAGAAAGGGCAAAGTATTGAAAATACCTATTATTGGGGATAATTATTTTTGAGTTCTGTGGACCTAGAAGTCAACCCTGTGATGCAGTCAGCAGCCTCCACCAATAGCCCATCCTGCAGGCAACAGTGCTGCACAGGATTATAGGAAGGATGAGGTGGGCTGAGAAATTAAAAGGAAGACTTGGGGTGAGATTTGTCCTTCTTAAGAACTCAGTGCACTCTCGCTCCAGTGGGGTGGGCTCTCCTTTCTTCGGTGGAGTGGGCTGGGAATGGTGTGTGTCCTGTGCAACCAGAAATGGCCCCTGGGGTCCCATGGCTGTCACATTTCTGCACAGTTCTCAGACTGAGCAAAGCATCGGAGGTTGTTAGCACATTTCCCAGTGGATCTGAAACTGGGCTCAATACCAACAAGCACACTCCAGAGATTTGTCTCTCCACCATACTTGGCTAACAGCTATTCCCTGGTGCCCAGGCAAGAATTAAGTTGAGTGTATGCCTTGCACTGTTATATACTGTGTCCCTAACAGCTGGCTCATTAATGCAATTTAGAAGGAAGAGAGAACTGGCTGTTCACCATTATATGTAAGGTACTTGTAATAAATCTCTCAATAAGGAGGTATAAAAATTCCCTGTTTCTGGGCAGCCAAAAGAAGCAGGACATTAAGCAGAAGCCAGTGAGCCTCATTAGCGAGAGGACCCAATGCAGAAGGTCCAGGGGGACTCGCTCCACATTTCTGTCGGTAATAGCTTTTCTTTTACCTGAAATATGCTGGTAATTTTCTCACTTGTGAAATTCAGTTCACCTAAAGATTAACAAATATACTGTTTCTTAATATTTAACTGAATAGCTTCCAAGCTCTGGAAGCTACATAAAAATAAAGCATCTTTTGTTACCAGTCTTACTTTTGTTTACTTTTCTGAGATACTGGGATAGCAAAGTCAATATAGGATGATTTATTTTGAGGAGGAAATAATATGACAAACTATTTCACATAAATTTCTTATATATTTTGTATGTATGTGTATGTGTATATGTATATGTACATACATGTATATGTATAATGTGGCTATCAGGATCAAAACAAGGGCCTCAGGCCAGAGGCAAGAGAATTTCTGGGCCTTTCTAGTCACTAGCCTAGGCTCTGGGTTTACTGAGAGTCTGTATCAAGGTTCTAGCCTCTGTGCACAAATAGACATGTGACACACACACACACAGACACACACATACACCCCACATGCTTACACCACAGATATGTACATCATTTACTCTCTGGTATACATCAAGGAAATTAAAATTTTTTAAATGCATTTAAAAAAAAACAACAAAACCAAGACTGTGTCCTGTCCAGCAGGGCATTAAACAGGGGTTCACCTGAAAGAGAGTGCGTTGGGGGGGGGGACAGGCAAAGGCACAAAGAAATGATGATCTGTATATAGTCTGATCAGATTGCCATTCTTACTTTTTCACACATGGGTCATATACACAAAAAAGACAGGACATGGGGAAGGGGATGATGCAGGAGCATAGGTGTTCAGGGGGAGTACAGATATCTTCCAGAACAGAGTGTCAGCTGAGAGAAGGTTCAGGAGACAGGTCACTATGAGTCTGCCTATGATTTACTTATCCTTATCTAAGTTGGTACTATCCACTAAGGCTACCTATCTACAAGGTCTATGTATTCAGCCTGGCAATTTTCCACCAAAACTGCTTGTTTACAATAGCTTCTAGTCATCTGTTTCTGTGTTTTTCCACAGAGACCCAAGACTTTGTATTAGCAGGCATGTATGTCAGGCCTATTGCTGAGTTTAGGCCTTCAGTGTATAAGCAGGGCTGCCCCTGACATCTTTATTCACCTAGAATGCAGATTCTTTACCCAGAATGTAGCTACATCTGTGTTGTCCCTAATCATATATCCAGTACAAACACCAGCCAAGTTTGCCAGCACCATAAGTATCAAATATGAAGGCTGACACAGGATGGAAAGCAATAACACAAGGAGAGTTACTTGATCATTTCCACCTAAGTAGTTACTACTGAAATGTGTTCTAATATAGTTGGAAACATCCCTATCCTAAACCTTGGGACCGTGGTCACATGTAGTTCACACACACACACCAATCATCTCAGTGTCTAGGAGGGCATCTACCCCTTTCGGCTCTAAGTTACAGGGTAGGAATGACAGCTCCAGCTGAGTTTGTGAACATGAGTTCACAAAGGATGTCATTGCTAATGAGGGTCAAGCCCACTGAAGTGTTTATCTATCAGATCTCTCAAGATGTCCTTTTTCTTGTCTTAGACTTGTGTAAGAGTAAAGCAGTACACACATGTACTTTTTTGTTTGTGTTGATATTTCTGTGGAAAGCATAAAGTAGAGAAATGAGTTTGATGTGACATTGTGGATGTTTTGTTGTTTCTGTGCCTAGATCTGGTACCTTCTGGTTAGACACAGGGCTAGGTTAGTGAGTACAATTGTTATAGGCTATTTTATTTTTAAAGTAAGAAAAATATAAGATAAACTAAATGTTTAAGCAAAACCAGATTACAGAAGATCAAAATTATGGTTCAAGTTATACACAAGTTAGTGTGAGATTCAATATACCTTACTTTTATATATCATTCTATAGTCAAAGATATACATGTATTAGTTATAGATATATTCCTTTACATTTTATTTACTTCCTATTTTGAACAAATAGGAAGGAAAAGCCTATTTTACTAGTTCTACCAAAATGTTTGAGATGATTATAGGAAACTATAATGCACTGTATATTTGAGACGAGTTCAAGGAATTTCTGCTTTGTTAAATTCCATTGTGTACTCATTGCACATGGTACTGTGTGGCATTCGGCCATTTTCTTTCTTTCTTTTTTTTTTCTTTTTCTTTCCCCTCCCTTCTCCCTCTTGCTCTGGCCAGATTTACTCTGCCTCCACTCACTCTGGCCCAAAATACACTGTAGCTGTCTTCAGATACCCATATGAGGACATCAGATCTCATTACAGATGGTAGTGAGCCACCATTGTGGTTGCTGGGATTTGAACTCATGAACTCCTGAAGAGCAGTCAGTACTCTTTAACTGCTGAGCCTTCTCACCAGCCCAACATTCGGCCATTTTCATATGAGTGTATATTGTACGTTGAGCCTCCTTATACCTCTCTCACCCCTCCCCTGCATTAGTCTCCTCTGTCCCCTGATTCACTTTTGCTTCTGTTTCAATGTCATGTGAGCATATGTGATTTTATGTGTTGAATTAAAATCTAGGAACCACAAATGAGAGAGAATATGCTCTTTGACTTTCAGAGGCTGGGTTAATTCCCTTAATGTGATTTTTTTCTAGTTGAATTTGTTTTCCGGCAGCTGATATAAATCCATTCTGTTTTATGGCTGAAAGAGTCCATTGTATATATACACTACATGTTCTTTAACCTCCTCTGCTCTTGGGAACCTAGAGGGAGAGACTTTAGTAAATACCCAGAAGTGATGTAGTTGGATCATGTGGGTTTTCCATTTTTTTTTTTTTAGAAACCTCTTGCTGATTTCCATAGTGACCGTACCACACATCCCTGTCATTGGTGCATGAAGGTTCCACTATGCCTACATACTTACCAGCATTTGTTGTTGTTTTCTTAATGGCTGTCATTCAGATTAGAATGAGGAGTAGCAATGTATTTTTAATTTGCGTTTCTCTGATGGCTAGTGAGCTTATACATATTTTATGGTTATTAGCCATTTGTATTCACCTTTTGAGAACCGTCTGTCCTTTCATTATTCTGACAATCCTTGAGCATAAAGGTCATTCTGTTTTCCAGTATTTTCTTCAATTTCTCAGTGTTTGAAAATTTCCACTGTCAGACCCTTTACTTTCTTTTTCAGGTTTATTTCAAGATTGTTTACTTGCTTGCTTTGAGGCTGCTACAAATAGTATTATTTCCCTATTTCTTTCCCAGAACTTTTGTCATTAATAGTATTAATATTGCCTGTTAATATTGTATCCTGCCACTCTGCTGGAAAAAAAAATCACTCTCTGTGCTGGCCAGTCTTATGTCAACTTGACGCACAAACTAGTTATCTGAAAGGAAAGAACACTAATTGAAAAAATGCCTCCATAAGATCTGGCTGTAAGGCATTTTCATAATTAATGACTGATAGAAAAGAGCCCAGACCATGGTGGATGGTGCCATCCCTGGCTAGTGTGGTGGTCCTGAGTTCTACACGAAAGCAGGCTGAACAAGCCAGAGGGAGCAAGCCAGTAAGCACTACCCCTCCACGGTCTCTGCATCAGCTCCTGCCTCTAGGTTTTTCCCCTGTTTTAGTTCTAGTCCTGACTTTCTTTAGTGATATAAATCCTTTCCTCTCCAACTTGGTTTTCGATCATGGTGTTTCATTACAGCAATAGAATTCCTAGGTAAAACACTATCAGTTGAAGAAGTTTTTTTGTGGAACCTTCAGGGGATCTTATGAACAAAATTACATCATCTGCAGACAAAGTTATCTTGTCTATTCCCTTTTCATTTTCTTCCTGGTTATAATGTCCCTGCTAAGACTAAAGAAATGACATTGGATAAGAATGGTTCCTCATTTGATATAGTGGTGGCTATGGGTTGATTTATGCAATTTTTACTATGTTTCTTCTAGTCCTAGTCTTCCCAGGCTTTTCTTATAAAGGTATCAGATATATCTTTTTATTCTTTACTGGCATGTCTGCCCCAGCACTTCTGAGGTCAGCACAAAGTGTTATACCGTTTATATTTACTGTTTCATATTTCACTGGAACAAGTAATACAGACAAACATCCTGTGAGAGGGACGTAAGCCTCCTCTGGTTTGCATCTGTTGTGATAGCCTCTGGTAGCCATCTTTGTTTTTTCCAAGGATTTGAGTCTATTTCCTCCAGAATAGCTTCCCTGAAATGAAATTACTAGATCAAAATGCTATGAATATTTTAAAGCTCTGATTTCTGAGCATATTTCTAAATAGCTTTCCAAAAAGTTAGTAATTTACCTTACACTAGCAATATGTGAGAATTATAGTATTACCCTAGGCTTAACGAGCTGCTAGTAAGGCTACATTACTTTTCTTTGTGTTTATTTCATTCCCAGCAGGCTAGAAAATTTTTGCAAGTACTTACATACAATGTATTTGTGCTCTTGTTTCTCACTGTTGTCATATCAATTGGATTCTCTCATCTCTGGTCTTCTCCCTTTATTGACTTATCTAGGCTCCCATGATTCATTCAGCTACTGGGTAGATGAAAAGTCCCCAGTGGGGCCTGACCAAACCCAAGCTGTCAAACGCCTTGCCCGGATCTCCTTGGTGAAGAAATTAATGAAGAAATGGTCTGTAACTCAGAACCTGACCTTCCGGGAGCAGCTGGAAGCTGGTATTCGCTACTTTGACCTACGTGTGTCTTCTAAGCCTGGAGACACTGACCAGGAGATTTACTTCATTCATGGGCTCTTTGGCATCAAGGTTTGCGATGGGTTGATGGAGATTGATGCATTCCTCACTCAACATCCTCAAGAGATCATCTTCCTGGATTTCAACCACTTCTACGCCATGGATGAGGCCCACCACAAATGTTTGGTTCTGCGAATCCAGGAGGCCTTTGGGAACAAGCTGTGCCCAGCCTGCAGTGTGGAAAGCATGACACTGCGGAGCCTGTGGGAAAAGAAGTACCAGGTAAGAGGCAGGAGGGCTGAGGTTCTTCCAAGAGCAAGAACTCAACTCTGCTTTCCTAGGTTGTCACTGTGAAATAACTCAACCCAAGGCACAGGAGCTGGACAAGTAGATTGCTTGAAGTACTGAGCATGTGCAGAAGAGTATCTAGATTCTGAGATTTAACAGGCCTGGTAGAAATGAGATTAATGCTTGATGTCTTACTTATTTTTCTATTGCTGTAACAAAACATCATGATCAAGACAACTGATGAAAGAAAGCATTGAATTTGGCTTATGGTTTTAGAGGATTAGAGTCAGTGATGGCAGAGCAAAGGAATCGCTGAGGGCTCTCATCTTGATGAGAGAGAGAGACAGAGAGACAGAGAGAGAGACAGAGACAGAGAGAGAGACAAAGAAAGACAAAGAGACAGACAGAGAGAGAGACAGAGAGAGACAGAGAGACAGACAGAGAGAGTCAAAGACACAAAGGGAATCAGACAGACAGACAGAGAGAGAGTACTGAGAATGTTACAAGTCTTTTGAAACCTTTTGAAACCTCAAAGCCCACTTTTAGTGAACATGAGTAACAAGGCCACACCTCCTAATCCATCAAACATTTTGAGCATCTTGGGACCTAGGATTCAAATATATAAGCCTCCACAGGCCACATTCAACTCCCTGGACTTCATAGACTTGTAGGCATATTATAATGCAAAATGCATTTGATCCAAATTCAAAAGTTCCTACCATCTTTTACAGTCTCAAACTTGTTTAAAAGTCTGAAGTCTGATTTGAGCCTCAAGGCAGTGTCTTAGCTGTAACCCCTACAATAAGCAAAAGCAAAAAGCAAATGACATACCTTCAACACCCAATGGCACAGAATATACATTACCATTTTCAAAGGGAAATAAAAGAGGACATGGTGAAGAAATACAGACCAAAGCAAGACTAAAACACTCCAGAGCAAACTCCAAGTCCTGTACCTTCACGTCCAGTGTCAAAGGACTTACATGGTTTTGTACTTACAACTTTTCTGTTTGCAACATATTTCTCTTTCTTAGGCTGGTTCCACTCATTATATGCAGCTCACTTTGTCAGAAATCCCATGACTCTGGCACCTCTACCTTCTCCAACACAATCTAGGGATTACTTTCACAGCTTCATGAAAGTCTCTTGGACCCCTGCCTCATGCCTGGCTTCAGTGGCTCCCCTTCACAATGGAGGAAGATTCCATAACCCCCTTATTCTCATATTCTTCATGACTCTTAAAGTCCAAACAACATGAATGACACTTCCAAGTTTGACTACCAACTTGGCACCCTGAAATCATATTTGTAGAAGCTTTGATTTGTTGTTGCTTTTTTCAAGCAGAAAATTCCTTTTTAGAAGTTGAAAGTTTATCTGGCTGAAGTCTTGCCCTGAGGACACCCCTCCCTTTATTCTATTTAAGATCAAGCCTCTCTTTAATCTTATGTCTTTCAGAAGAAGTCTTGGCACCAACATTAAATTTGGTGCCACTTTTCCTCCTTAAAATGTATAGCTTGTATTTCTTTTTGCCCCTATTGTTAATTTTAATTGTAGATCTGTGTGATTACCACAGGACAGAGTCAATAGTAAGCTGTCTTGAAATCTCTGCCAAAGAAATGAGTCTAAAACTCTGCGAGTTAGCCTTAGGAAAAATCATAGAACAAGGACAAAAAGTAGCCAATTTCCTTGCCAAAATATGGTCTCTAGCCCCGTTGTTAATATTATTCCCCTCTGAAACTTCATGAGCTGGACTTCTATAGTCTACATTGATCTCAGAATCTACTAGAATTATGCATTTAAGTCCTGTTTATAGTGTTCTACATTTTTCCTAGTCTGAAATTCTAAATTCTTCCTCTTTCTTCCAAAAACTAGCACAGTCAGGCCTGTCACAGTAAAACCTCACTTCTGGTACCAACTTCTGTCATTGTTATATTTCTATTGCTGTCATAAAACACCATGACCAAGGCAACTTATAAAAGAAAGTGTTTGATTTGGCTTATGGTTTCAGAAAGTCCATGATGGTGGAGCAAAGCCATAGTAGCAAAAATTAGCAGAGGGCTCACAACTTGATCCACAACAGTGAGGCAGAGAGAAAGAGAAGGAAAACACTAGGAATTGCACATGCCTTTTGAAACCTCAAATCCCATCCTCAGTGACACACCTTCTCCAACGAGGCCACACTTCCTAATCCTTTACAAACATTTCCACCATCTGGACGACCAGATATTCAAATATATCAGCTATAGGGAACGTTCTCATTCAGACTGCACACTGACAAATATTCAAAGTTTGTCTGCAGTCTATTTGACATCTAAATTGACCTTTAATGGCTTGGCCAATATCTGCCCAAGGCAAAGTTGTGACACAAGCCAATTGGTCAGTAGGACACTATTCTGTCTCATCTAAGATTTGGTTAATACCCTCTATCCATGCCCCTCCCCCAAGTAAAGATGAACCTCCAAACATGTACCTTTGAGAAACATGCTCAGTAAAAAGATAAGCCTCAAATGGATTCTACTCTGATACCAAGGTGCGGTAGCAGAAAAAGAGAGCTTTGGAAAAGGACAGCCTCTGACTTGAACTTTATCCAAGAAAAACAAAAAGGATGCATTCATTCAAAGTTGTTCCCATCCCATTAAGTACATTAAGAAAACTGTCTTTTAAAAAAGTGTTGAATAAAGACCTCAGGTCCTTATACATGCTAGGCAAACAGCTCTCTCATCGTTCCACATCCCAGGTTCGAAGAAAAACTTATTAAAGTAGTTTTTTGGGGGGACCAGAGAGCTGTCTTGCAGTCAAAAGCACTTGCTTTACAATCATAAGAACAGGTGTTCTGGTGCCAGCACCAACCAAAGAAGGCAAATAATTGACTATAACTCCAGCTCCATAAAGAGTGTAGACAGGTGGGTCCCTGGGCACTTCCAGCTTAGCCAAGAAAATTCGAGCCAAGCCTTGGGTTCAGAGAGAGACTGCCTCAAAGGAATAAGTAAAGAGCAATAGTGGACGCTGGTGTTCTCATCTGGCCTCAGTGTGCATTCAAGGCTCACAGGTACTTACACTCATAGGCACGCACATGTGCACATGCATGTGTGCATGCACTCACACACACATATAATTAAATAAATAATAAAAATTTAAAAAAACAAACATTTCACTCAAGGAGGAAGGAACTTCATCTTGAAAGAGAGCTCAGTTATTTGTTTAAAAATATTTGTTAAGCACCAACTGTGTATCATATCTCTTCTCCCACAACTAAGTTTAATACTATTCAGACTCACAGATGTAATTTAATTTAACCTACTTATTTATTTGTTGTGGGGTCATGCTATGCTGTAGCCCAGGCTTGCCCAGAACTCTTGAAGTGCCACCTCAGTTTTACTAAGCCACCAGAATCAGATGAACTGTTTTGATCTTCTCAACAGCACTAAAAGATAGGCATTTGATATTGCCCCCCATTTTGCAGATGGGAAAATTGAGAAATGGAGATACTGCAGCAACTTGCCAAGGAGGCAATGTGAGTGAGAGTGTGGGTTAGGGTTCCCTCACTGGCTGGTTTCTCTCTAGTATTCCCATAGGCCTTGATGACTTTCACAACTGCTTTTCTGGGTTGTGAAATAACAACACTTTTGTTTCACTAAGAACCTATTCCCAAAGGGCCTTTGATTGTTCTCATTGAGAAAAGGGGTGGACATTTGAATGAAAGGGTAAGGTAAGGTTAAATACGAGGTCAGTAACATTTTGTAATTTGGTACACAGATGATAGTCTGGATGGTTGACAGATTGCACAAAAAAACCAGGCAGATCCCTGGAGGTCATTGACCAGCCAGTCTGGCTAAATAGAACTTTAGATTCACCAAGAGACTCTGTCCCAAAAAAAATAATGGTTCAGGGGACAGAAGAGGTTCAGCAGGTAAGGAAACTTGCTGCCAACCCTGACAACATGAATTCGACCCTCAGGACCCACAGAGGGGCCACAGAACTGAACCCAGATGTTGTCCTCCGACCTCTACTTTAAAAAAGGTGGGAAGCTATCAAGGGAAGATAGCCAACATCAACCACTAGCTAGCCTCCACATGTGCCTGCTCATATGAACACACTCACACTAACAAGTACACATTCCATACATAATACACACACTCATATACACGCACACACATGCTCACACACTCACATGCACAGGCTAATTTAACAGCGTTACCCACTACAAATAGTCCTATGGTTAAGGAGAAAAGAGATTGAAATGATATATTAGAAAAAGAGTATCCCCAACCTAATGTCTCTTTAAAGCTGAAACAGGAGCACTCAAGGAGAGCCACCAGTCATTGGCCCCATGCTGGGGCAGTGTCACACTTGTGACCAGGCTTTAAATATTCATTATGCAATGAGCTGCCCTGCTACCTCTCCCCCATCCCTCCCTCAGTGTTTTATTACTGGAATTTAATATCAGGAAGTACTCTACTCTCAGTCACATTTCATTTACTCAACATGTAATTATATCACAGCTCACAGATTTTAGATGCAGACCCAAGTAGATAAGGTCTTAAGGGTACAGTAAATTCGAGGATTCAGCCTACAGTTTGGAAGTATTTGAGATCTAAATGAGAAAGTAGGAAATTTATAACCCAACAGGCCATGGTGGAACATACCCCCCCCCCATTTGTTTATTTATTCCCTTTATATCCCAATCACTGTTCCCTCACCTCCCAGTCCCTCCCTCACACAGCCCCTCCCCCATCCCTAATTCCCCTTCATCTCTGAGAAGGATGAGGTCCCCTTTGGGTACCAACCCAACCTGACATCTCAAGTCACTACAGGACTAGGTCCATTCTCTCCCACTGAGGCCAGCCAAGACACCTCAGTTAGAGAGACAGGATCCACAGGTACACATCTTTAGTCCCAGGACTCAGAAGGAAGAAGCAGGAGAATCTCTGAATTTGAGGTCATCTCGGTTCAACTCCTCAAACCCAGAGTAGAAGGAAAGAACCAACTCCTGAAAGTTACATTCTTGTGTCCACATGTATGCCATGGTATGCATGCTCCTGCAGACAAGAAGAAAAATAATTACTAGAAATAATCCATCAACCTAAGATAGATTGCAAATGTAAGATAAGATCAAGCCTGGTGTCCTACATGGTATGAAAAAGAGATTTTATAATCCATTGAGAAGTAGAGCACACCATGAGCCAGGACCCCAGAGGCCCCAGTAAAGGAACCATCACAGTAAGAAGAGCTCACCAGAGGGACTGTTCTTAAAAGAAATGAGATTTTCCATCTTAGAATCAAGAGAAAAACTGAAAATGAACTAGGGAGCTGGATAGGGGATATTTCAGAGGAAACTGGCACAAGGAGGTGGAGAGGGAGATCTGATGAGATCTCGATGAGCCCCTACACCTTTGTTTTATAAGCAGAGGTCCTCCCAGCAACCCTCAGATCAGACTATCCAAGAAGACCAAGGGGGAAGGACAGAAACCCCTTCTTGTGTAATTTGTACTAATTACACATTTTCTGAGGCAGAGTAACGTTGAGTACTGTCCTCTAGTGCATGGATGCACAGCACTGGGTGGGGCAGTTGTCTTAGATACCACTTGATAGGCCTGTAACAGGGTTGCAGGGCTTCCTGCCCAACCCTACTGCCCAGCTCTCCCTCAGGCTTCACCCTTCCAACCTAACCAGTTGCAGTGCCAGCGGCAAATCTTTGGGTCTCCCCAGCAATCTGCTTACAGTGAGCCTGTGATTAACCTCATTAACACATGTGTTTACTATAGTCACCATCAGTGCTCAGCATTACTCAGAACCCTTAAGAACTAGGAGGATAGACATTGCCCTGTTCGCAACCCCCTGCCTCCAGACATTCAAAAGGTCTGGCGCCTTCATCATCACCTGAACACACTGGAAATGAGATGAACATATAGAATCCTCCTCCTCCTGAGTGCCTGAAAGAGTACTCATAAGATTACAGTCCACAGGGTAAACATGAGCTAGGCATTCCTCTGGGAAGAGCTCACCCGTGCCCCTAAGGGGAAAAATACAGCTCTTCTAGAAAACCACACAGCAGAGCTCGGAACTGGGACAATCAGAATAGCACCCCTCTGTCCCTTAGCTGCCTCCCAGAAACTAATTAATGCTGTAGATACAGCTTGCTAATTATTTTCAAAATTATTGACATCTCCAGTAGCCCCACTGGAGGTCCATGGCCTCTGCAAGGTCTTCCCTGATACCAGTGGCACATTGCTTTCCTCTCCTGGGATGGGTAATTTCATCAGAGCCAGTGCGTACAATTGAAAATCTATTCACTCACAAATGAGCTTTCACTGTTTATCTAAACCCCAAGAGCTATGCCTACTCCAAGTCTCAATGCCATGAGCACTGGAAACATGATTTCTGGATCAGACTGGTTTCAGCCTGGTATGCAGAGACTTCCCAGGGACTGTGTATGGATGGAATGTAATAAGGCTGTGTCTAGTTGGTTTAAAAAAAATAATCACAACAAAAAAACTACATTTTCACTTCTACTCACCTTGAATAACTACTCATGTACACTGGCAGTAAAATCCTGTTTCTGCACGGTTGGCCTTGCCTGTCAATTTTCCTCAGGGAGATAGCCTCGTCACATCCTCTGTAGATCGCCTTAACTCATGTCCCTCAGTAACTCAGAGTTAATGGAGCATATTAGACCCTATCTAAATAATTCTATGCATCAACCATAAGACTTCTATATTAATTTCTTACAAATACATTTGTTATAATGAATAGGCATATGTCCTTTATATTTTATTATTTTCCTTTATGTATGACCAAAAAGGTAATCATCCTTGAGTTAGACAGCAAGTTCTCAGTAACTCTTTGTTTCTTTACTTCTTAACAATAATATATTAGGCCAATGAGGTGGCTCAGTAGGTAAAGCATGCCACCAAGACTGATAGCCTAGGTCCCATTTGCTTGAAGGTGAGAACTAACTCCCCAAAGCTATATTCTGGCTACTACACATGATCTCCAACAGTTCATGTCCCACCTCATCTTTCTGCCATGTACAAAATAAATAAACACATGTAATAAAAACATTATCTATGCAAAACACAGCTCTCACCTCAAAGAGAATAAGAAATAGTTTATTATTGAGCCAAATAGGAAAGGGCTTGGAACACAAACTCAAGTTGCCTGAAACACCATATCCACTGTGGAAATGGTCACATGAGATTTGATTCGCCAAGGAACTAAAGGAAGCCATAAGGCAATGCATTTATTACCATTGGTTGGTATAGCAAGAGAAGTTACTACAGGTTTAGGATGCAGCCTGTGGATATTTTTGTTCTTGGAAGTTGGTGGTTTGCTATGAATACATGCCAAAGCCTTTAACCTGATAGTCAAAAAGATGTTAGGTCAGGCACAGGTGTGAACAATGAATGGCTTCTGAAAGGAGCAAGGGAGTCCAAGAGAACTTGGCTCTAGACTCCAACATTCTTACGTTCCGTGAAGTTCTGTCTAATCTGTCCGTTAGCCCCATAAAACCTTGCATAGAGATACAGCTTTCCCCCCTCTCCCAGTTTCCATGAACAGTTCTGCTGCTTCTGAGCGTGTTTATCCACTTCTCCCTCACTATTCCACTACTCAGCTTTTGAATGTTTCTGTCCTTTTTCTGCTCTGAACATTTCAGGTTCTCATTTTCTACCACTGTCCCTTCTACAAGCAATACCCATTCCTGTGGCCAGGGAAGAAGATTCCGGCACCCTGGGCAAACACCACCAGTGTGCAAAAACTGATCCTCTTCTTGGAGACCACCCTGAGTGAACGAGCCCCACGTGGGGCTTTCCATGTCTCCCAGGCCATCCTCACCCCAAGAGTGAAGACTATTGCGCGAGGCCTGGTGGGGGGCCTCAAGAACACACTAGTTCACAGGTAAGAGGTGGCTCCTACCCCACATATAGGGTTTGTGTTATTGCTTCATTGGTGGTGGTAGCTGGTTGATTGATTGGTTGATTGGTTGGGTGGTTAGGTTAATTGGTTGATTAGGTGGTTATCTTGAGACAGTTCAGGCTGGCCTTGAACTCATAATCTTCCTGTCTTTGCTTCTTTGATACTGGAATTTTAGGTTTATATACTTCGCCCCATCAGAAGAAGTTTGAACTAACTCTCTCTCTCTCTCTCTCACACACACACACACACACACACACACACACACACACACACCTTATGCTGTGGAGTTAGCTCAGTTAGTAAAATTCTTCTCTTGCAAGCACAAAGATCTGATTTCCAGAACCCCTGCAAAAAACCTTCCCAAGCACAGTGAGCCCATGTGATCCCAGATAATCCTAGAATCAAACACTGGAGAAGCAGAAACAGCTGGATGCCTGATGCTAACTGTCTGGCAAACCTAACTTAATTGGCAAATTCAAAACCAGTAAGAGACTCTAAAACAAAATGGATTATATCTGAAGAATGAGAGCATGGTTGCCTTCTGGCCCCCCACACAAGTACACACTTATGTACCTATACATAGCTATATCTACACACATATCACACACACACACCGTTTATATTGATTTTATTCTGAATAAACAACAGTAAAACTTTGAGAATTATAAGAAAAAACCCCATAAAACACACTGTTTTGAAAAGTTGTGGATTCTAGGGATAGTATATGAATAGCGTTCTAAGAATCCTTTGATACTTTGCTAAAATGTTTGTATTATTCCATAAATACTCACTATGTTTTGATACTATGACAAGCACTCTGAGCCAGTGTCACCGAGTGGCTTCTTTTATGACTCACACCCATGGTGATCCTCTTACTGTCCACACAGCTGGCTGGGATACTCACTGTTTAAGAAGCATTAAATGCAGGCTGCTGTGCTCCATGCTAGGGACTGTGAGATGGTCCTCCGGGAATTTATTCTTTCATCATTGGTGACCATGAGTCTTGAGTACCATGTCACAGCCTCAAATGCTCCCTTTCGATAGAATTAGGCCTGATATACAGATAAACAAGGATGATCTAGTCATTTTATGTGAGATGATATTCTTTGTCCTGGGCACCAGTGAATGATGGATAAAGGATGTCTAGAAAGCATATTACATGTGTATATGTGTGTATGTGTGTATGTATTTGTACATGCATGTGTATAATGCATATATATATGTATACATATATATGTATATATGTATAATTAATATTAATTAAATACACTTTCCAGTGGGCTATCCTTTGTAATATAAGTTAAAGAAACTAATGTATTTAGGTTTTCTAAAAATGACATTTACAAGAATCTGTTTAGTTCTTGAGTTCTGGGTGGTGACTAGAATTTGGATAGTGAAAGCTGTGTTCAGTCACATCACACACCCAGTCACATAACCAGTCACATGTCCAGTCAGTCACATGCCCAGACACATGCCCAGTCACACTCATTTGTTCTGAGTTTGAGAGCATGGCTTCAGTTACTAGCCATATACCTAAATAGGAGTTTAAAAGGCAAGCAACAACTATGTTCTTCCTTCATGCTGAGAACTCCTGATAATGTCAACCACGGACAGAACCACAGGCTCCTTCCCATGCAGCCCTTCTAAGTCTCAATGGAATTAACCATATTCAGCTGGAAACAAAGAAACTCATGGGCTGGCCATGGTGCTATGCACCTACATTTCCCCAGCATTTGGAAGGCTGAGGCAAGGGGATTGTGAGTTCAAAGCCAAGAGAAGCTATGACTAGGCTAGATGCCAACACTCTCTTTGGAGACAAGGGCTATGGCAGAGCGAAATCCTGTCTGTAGCCCAGGCTGGCCTCAAACTGACTGTTGCAATCCTCCTGATTCAGTCTCCAAAAGTGTGAGCAACCATGTCTGGCAACAATCAAATCAAATGAAATCAAAACAAAACAAACAAACAAAACACCATAATCCAGTGTGGTATCTCTTAAAAGGACCTAGAATTATACATTTTCTTTTTTTATATATATATGTCGAGGTTCCTATTCCATTTTCCTCATTCTTTTGGTAAATTTGCAGCTTAACATTATTAACTTATTCAATAAAGTGAAATTTTCTGTATGTCAAGACAAACAGAAAGAGTACCTGGGAAGAGGCAGATGAAGAGACACAGAGGAGTCCTGTAGCCTTCGCCCCATAGTCTTTCAGCAAAATCTAACATGAACATTTCTTTAGTGAAGACTAGCCTACTGCAAATCTGTGTGGGAAGCTAAGAGAGACTATTTCACATGCAGAATAGGTCCTTTATTCTGAATAAAAGATAGCCTTGAAAGACCCCTCTAAGGGGGGACTCATGAAGGAAGTGACCCCCAAAGACACTCTAGAGACCTCTTGCTGTAATAACATGTGTCAGGTTTAATAAACAAAGCTTTGGACCGAAACGTATCTCATGTAGGAGACAGGGGATTTGACCCTGAGATCTAACAGTTTAGGATTTTTTTTTTAAGATTATAAAAAAAAACTTCCTTTAATCAAGGCTTGTAACATAGAGATTTGTCAGATAAAATGGAAAGTTTCCAATACACTGAAACATAAATCCGTAAGTCATCATAAATACAATACCCAACAGTAAAAACCACAACAGCAAATTCACGCTATCCCTGTAACAGCCATGATCTGATTTCATGTGCTTCTAACAGATGCAAATATGACCTGCAGGATACCAAGCACACGAGGGCTTTGAGGTCATACTCATCTGACAGGGCTGTGGCATTGGTGGCTCTACTCCAGAAGCAAAGCAGGTTCCAGCACATTCAAACAGTGTATCTTTTACATATCAAAGTGAGAAATAAGAAAGCAACATGGTCACACTATCAGAAAGATGGCAGGGAGTGAGGACAGCTACGTGAAGCTCGAGGCCAAAAGGGGGCTAGCCGGCTTCATTTCTTTGGCTTCTTGGGCAGTGGCCGCCGGAACAGTAAGATGTGAGGTTCTGGTTCATGGATCATATAGTGGACCCATCCCTGACTGTGCTGAACGCCGAGATTTCTCCACTCAGATTCAGACATCAGATGGGTTTTGGGGACCAGCTTGACTATGTCCTTGGGCAACATGACATGCCTGGCTGTAGTCTCCGCGCCGGCACTAACCGGTACTCGAACTCCTCATCGTCGTATTTGTCCGAATAGTAGATTTGTTTGTGAGACATGATTGCTCTGCCTGAGGGCGCTCAGCCCCGCGCCGCTGGCCTCCAGACAACTCCCAGCAGCACCAGTTTAGGATTTTTATAGATAAAGGCTGGGGGGAGGGAAAGAGTTGTGGGTAATCGTACACAATTGGTTGTTATAAATGTCTATAATATGTGTAAGCAGATCTCAGGCAGAGGTTTGACAAATCTCATGAGAATAGTCTCTGGTCTCTGTGGCCTTGGGTTAGTAAGTTAGCTGACTTATTATTTTTAACTATTTGTATTCTTGTTATATTATTTAACTAACTTAAAAAATATCTTTTCAGCCTTTTGTAAATGTTTTTATTTGATTCTTAAATCTAGGCCAGTGTTTTGAAGTGGAGAAGGGGCACATCATCTAAGGTCCTTGTGGGTCCTCATGTAAGAGAGTATGCAGGAAAGCTAAGTGAGCCAGCACCACAGATTACAGCTTAAGATGGCAGCCCCTGTGGGAGCCGAGAGCCTGTCAGGACTGCCGGGCTTCTTTCTGTGTAGTGCTGGGCACTGCTGTGAGCAGAGGGAATGTCTAAGCTTAGTTTCTTAGTGTTCTCAGACCTGTGATTGAGTTAGTAGTGCCTGGATCTGGTCAGTTCACACTGGTTACAGCTGGTAACCCACAATACCACTATTCATCTCATTGTGCTCCCTCAGTCTTGCTGCTGGAGAATCCCAGCCTCTCAGTTCAGTCGTCATGAAGACAGCATGAGCACAGAGGCAAGGCCTCCCAGCTGGTAGTGAGAATGTGCCCCTTACATGAGTAGCTCTCTTGGCATCCTAGCCCTTTCTGGTCATGGGAGTATTAGGGTGTGATCCTACATTCCTGTGCCTACACATCAGTGGAGGAGGAACGTGGCTCTGATTAGGAGTCTGTTCCCAAGTGCCAGCAATTCACATGACTGTCATTTCACCACTGAGTAATCATGGGCTCTCCCCATGAGCACCCCGAAGGCTGTCTGAACTGGTTAACCATACAGGGGTGCTGTGTAGCTGATTCTAAGCACTGGTCAAAAGCTCAAACCCATGGAAGACCCAGTGTGTCTTCCTACAGCTAGTTTACTTGGTGGGAAACTAATCCCCAACTTTTAGATGCAGTTTGAACATGAGAATATGTTGTTCACTTTGGTTCATCATCCTGAAAAGAAGCCACAAATATATATAGCCAATTCAGACAGAATTTCTGATGTAGTTTACCTCAGACTGGAAGACACCTGATCCATCGTACTCACAGTGAGTCAGGACAGAGTCGGGAGGCCTGATGTTGAAGCCTGTAGGGTCCCTGTTAATGTCACTGAATTAGGTTCTGTCTCTTCAAATCCTTGTATTAAAATAATAATCCAACCAGGTGTGGTGGTGCATACCTTTAGACCTAGCACTCCAGAGGCAGAACAGACAGATCTTTGTGAGTTCAAGGCCACCCAGACCTATGTACTGAGCCCCTCCCTCAAATAGAATAAAACCTTAATCTGAAGGTAAGTAAATTTAGAGAAAATGCATTTTAAAGAGGGAATTAACTTCAAAGACCATTACCATGGGTTCTAATCTACTCACACTGTAGTCCAAAGGAAACTTAAACCCAGAGACAATAGAAGGTAAGCATGGCAGTGTAAGCCTGTAATCCCAGCACTCACACAGAGGAGGGTACAGTCAAGGTCATCTTTGAAAATTAATACAGTCTCCAAAAACAAACAAAAGGCAAGAGACTACAGGAATATGTGTGTGCACACAGAGAAAATGACACATGGGATGCTGGGGGGAGAGGCCTGGGGAGGAGGAAATCACCTGCAAGTCAGGAATAAGGGCTTCAGACAAAGTCCAGCCCTGCAGGATCTTAACCTCGAGTTTTCAGCCTCTAGAACAGGGGAGAATAACTCCAGTTCTTTGAAGTCAGCGGTGAATGTGTTGTTATGAGAGCACAAGTGAACTAACACTGGACAATGGGGTGTCCATGTACATATTCTTGAGGTCTCTGAAATGAGCTTTTCTTCATCATTAAAACTAGAAAGTATGGATTATAGTCTGCAAAGGACCAGGGTTGCTGCTAGGTGTCAAGTATCATTTCCCCAGAATGACCAGTAGATGGCGCAGGATCTCCAAACAGGTTCTGATCAGGGAGCTTTTGAATCCCTAAATGTAACAGGCTCAACTACCTCTGTGTCCTTCATGTGGAATGCTGTGAAATTTTGTCTTTGTCTCTGAGGAGGTCTGTGTTTCTCAGCCCCTCCTCTCAACACTTTGTTGTGTGGATATATAAGGAACTTCCTGTCCCTACTCTCCCAATTGTTTCTCTCTCTACCTCTTTACTCTTTTGTTTATGATCCCTTTCTTTGGCCAAATGCATGACATTGCTCTAAGCAGCCATTGCTCTGAACTCTTTCCATGTACTATCTTTCTGATTCATCCTGAGGGAAGAGTAGCTGAGGGACAAGGAATTTTAGTAAATTAAGATCTTAGAGTCCCAGCTAAAAATAGAACTTTTGTCAGTCACAACCAGCTAGTACACACACACACACACACACACACACACACACACACACATACACACACAAAAAAGTGAATTGATCCATAAGACTATTTCAGCCCATGGGCAGGTGAGTCTTGCTGACTGAGAGAAGAGCTGAGGTTTTAACATCACCTTCTAGAAGACCAAGAAATGAGGGTGCATCACGGTACAGCAAGGGCAGCTTCAAAAGGAGGATAGAAATGGGGGGGGGGGGAACAGCCAGAGACAACAAGAGTAACAGAAGAGAGGGGGCCATGGATGTTAGCCAGAGCAAATCCCACACAAAGGATTCCTAGTCCTGCAATCAGCTCTAGGCCAGTTTCTACCTTCCTTTGTTGGGTATTTAGTGATTTGTCTTTACCATGAGGCCAGACAGCCAGTAGCCTTGGTTGCTCTTCTCCTCCTCAGTGGTCCCTCACACTTACATCACATTTGATTGAAAGCCTTATTTGCATCATGAGCTCTGAGCCTCTGTCACAGCAGAAGTCTTCTGTTTATAAAATAACCCCAGTAACTGTATTCAAGAGACAGCTGATTAAATATTAATCTACTAGGATAACTATCTCTGTGGAAAGTGAATCCTGACCCTTACTCTAAGCCTTTTGTAAAAATTAACTGCTGGTAGTTTTAAAGAGTAAAATAAAGGTGAACCCCCTGAGGCTTTCAGATGGAAATGTGAAAGAAAATCTTTGTGAATTGGAAGTGAATGTATTTCTTAAACAAATCACAGAAATTAAAACCAAAAATTGATGGGGGGTTGGAGAGATGGCTGGGGTTAAGAGCACTCACTGGAGAGAGCTAAGGCAAAGACCCAAGTTCAGGTCTCAGCCTGTAACTTCAGCATCAAGGGATCCAACCCCCTCTTCTAGATTCTGTGAACACCTCTGCACACACATGCAGGTACCCTCATAAAAACACATTCACATAAATAAATCTGTCTAAAGAAAACAAGATAACAAATTACACTCCATCAAGATTAAGGAATTTAGGCTCATCAAAATATTTTGTTGAGAAAAATAAGGCAAGCTACAAGGTAGAAAAAATGTTTGCCATGTATATCTGACAAAAGGCTAGTATTCAGGATGTAAAAATGATTTCTAAAATTCAGCATTTAAAAGAAGAAAGGGTGAATACTATCAAACCATGTTGTATGAAACTCAGAGAATGAATACAAAAATGCAAAAGAATAAAAAATGATTAAAAACTCAGTGGAAAAATTCTTCAAGTGATGAATATATAGACACTTGCAATAAAAAGGTATACAGGTCCAGTCTGCATTCCCAGCAGTCCTCCTGCTTCAACCTTCCACAGGCTAGGATCGAAAGCATTAGTCACCACACTTGGTTTAGAGTGACTAGACTTCAGAACACTAGTGGGACCAATTTTTAGGGAGAACGTTAACTGTCCGGAGCTTTCCTGTTCAGTTGGTGAGACTGTAAAGTAGAGCAGCCCCCTTGAGGAAAACGCTGGCAGTTTCTTATAAAACTAAATATAAATAAACCCTATCATAGACCGGTTTTGTCCCTTGATTTTTATCCAAGTAAAATAAAAGATGATGCCCATAAAAAGACTCATAAAAGAATGTCCATAATAGTTTATTTATAATGACTGCAAATTAAAAACAGTCGATGTATCTCTCAATAGAAAAATAGGCTATGTTGTATCCATACAGAAAGACAGTGATACACTGACAGATAAGTGGCAAACAAAATAGTAAAATGTAGCAAGAGATGGGGCAGATCTACTTACTGTAAAACTTCTTTCGATTTGTCATGTTTGAAATTTTTTACGAGGAACCCTAAGAACCTAACAATAAGGCAACTGTTGGACTTGGTGTTATAAGGTTCTATTAATATGTCTATCTATTTGATGCTAGAAGCAAATAGTCTTTTGAATAAGAGAATCCTTGGAAAGGTTAGTTCTGGTGGAAGAATCATTCATATCCCTGGGGTACAAGGCTTATGTTCAAGTCACCCCAGGGGCTTATGTGTTTCTGATACACACTTTGTAGTGACAGAAATGACTTATTTCCTTTTCTGCAGTTGTCAGTCTAACCCCAACTATCTATCTGTTTGTCCTCTTTTTACCCAACGCTTTCTTTGTGTAGGAATCTCCCTGCCATCCTTGATTGGGTGAAGACTCAAAAGCCTGGAGCCATGGGCGTCAACATCATCACATCTGACTTCGTGGACCTGATAGACTTTGCCACGACTGTGATTGAGTTGAACGACCTTCTAGAGGATCGAGCTCTGACATGTTGAATTCATGCTTTGTTTAATGTGATGTTGAGGTTGTTGATCCAAGGTAGAATTCTAGAGGGCTCTAGTAAAGATGGCTCACTCCTAGGCAGTCACAGGGAAGTGAGGAAGAGAAAGAAGACCCTCTCCCTTTCCTCACATAGCTAATTTGATTAAAAAAAATCTAAGGGTTTTCATTGTATTTTCCCCAAATGAGACTTTTACAACCTTAAGTCTAAGAGAAGAATGCATATTTCCTATGGTTAACATTAGGGTCTCCCCAAGTGGCTTGTGATGGCAAACAGAAGATGGAAGCATTCTTTTCAGGTTCCATGGGCTGTGCAACATCTTAATTGGCCCAGCTTCCTGTTGTCTTCTGGGGTCATTTGAGCCTGTGTGAAGACTAAATCAGAAAGGCATTCTCGGTCAGAAGAATGGCACAAGCAGGCATGGACCACCCTTAAGAGGTCTCTGCCATCAACCTAGAGCTCTAAGGGGTTCCTAGGGAGCCAAGAACCAGGTCTCTCATGATTTGTACCCTATGACCACTTTTCTACGAGAGCAAGATATGTTTATTATCACAGTGCTCAGCCACAGGCTTGCTCTGCATATCTTGGACTGGAAGTGGGCACCTTTATTCTTCATATAAATAGTGCACACTACCCTTGCCATTAGAAATGCATTTTCTTATATTAATGTATTTTGGGCCCCATCTTTTAAGCGAAAGGAACTATAGTGGGAAGTCTTTTGTGTGAAGGCCCAATATGAACTAAACATGCATGTTTGTTGCATGCCGGAGTTCTTTGATTTAATTCTGTAGCTTTCTCCCCAAATGACTATCAGGCAAGTGCCTGGATCATTTTGGCAAAATCCTCTTTGGAGCGAAGTCTTCAAGCCAGATAGCACAATCATATTTTATGGTTGTCTGTCTGTGTCCTGGTCTGCTGCACGACACAATGCCTGTCTATGACATCGTGGAGGCTGACACAGGATTCGTGGAAACGTGCAATGGAATTAAAGGACGACGCTCCAAGTGGGTTTGGAGCCAGTCTGTAACTCCTTGCAAACAAGACTACCTCGGGGACATTTAGCATGACTTGTATGTCATCAAGTGAGGAAAAAAAAAGCAATGCTGGATGTCTCTGCTTGTTTTTCCATTCAGTCTACTTTCTGTGGGTTGTTCTGCCAACTGCCTTTGCACGAGGGCTTGGAAACACAAGGGGAAATTTTTTTAATTGATTAAGAGGTAGCTTTTTATTGATAAGAGCCCTCTTTTGTTTCATTTGCTTTATTTGTATATTTATTGATTTATTTATTCATAGAGTAAAGATCTGCAGTGTTCCTTGCCTGAGGAATACTCACAGATGTTTACTGGACTTTTCCTACCCAGGATGCTGCTGTGGTCATCCACCCATGCACTGCATGGTGCATCTCAGGGGCTGTGAGTGACCTCGGAACTTTGCTGTAGATATCCTACCCCTACCCCAATCCTGCTGAGGACAATTGTATGGGTGTGGATGTGATCCAGATCTAGGAAGCTACTGCCAAAGGCATGACAGGGACAGAAGTGAAAGAGTCATAAAAAACTCCACGGGCACTTCTGTTAAGAGCACTGGGAAGAGAACTAGGAATAATGGCCAAGAGAGTATGTGAGTGTGCTTTGCTAACCTTCAGCCCTATTTGAGAATCCCTAAGGAGGTGTCAGATTCCACATTCCTAAGGAGGAATATAAACAGGCAGTCCTGGGTGGGGATGTGCATTTAAAGAGATTGCTGGACGTTCTTCCAGTTCTTCTCACATCTCTCCCTTTGATTGCCCCGTCAGTTTTGCATGCTGACTACTGTGGGGATATTTTGGGTGAGCTATTGAAAACATGCATGCCCCTAATGGCTAACTATCTGACCTTTCTTTCCCTAAAGTAATTTAGGCCTTGACTTTTCACTTCTATAGTTCATGGAGGCCACAGCACAAATGCCTCTGAGAAAACCTTATTTAGCTTCTCCTGTTCTTGAATTTGAATCCTGCCCCGAGGTGGCTTCTGAAATGATCTTGTCAAATTTGGCAAGGCTTCCTCATTGCATGGGAATGCATACCCCCATCATCTTAATTTCCCTTCAGTTGTGATGCTGAGCTCTACAGAGAAGCTCCCAAAACCTTAGCCTACCCTCAGGTTTTTATTTTTGTTTTTTATTGTTGCATTATTGATTTGGTTTTGGTTTTAATTATCAATTAGTTTCAAGGGACTAGATTATTCCCTATCTGTTAACCCTTTGTTACTTGGCAAAGAGATAAGGAGGCAAGAGGAGAGTCATTCTGCTCTGTTTTATTTGCGCCTCAGCTTTGTCCAGGTGCTTGGTGCTATGGAGCCTGGTGTGTCAGCAGGTATCTGCACCGGATGGATACTAGTTTCACTTTAAGGCTGCAGACTGTTCAGTGAACTGTTTACTTCATTTTCTCCCTTTGTTCTTAAATACACAGTTGTATTTCACTTCTGACATTTAAGTGCACCTCAATTTTGGCATGCTGTACCATTAAGCATAACACAGAAGCACATAACACTTCCGAGGTCACGCATATGGGCCCTTTCTCCCTTAGTGAGTACAGGAGTATACATGTACCAGCTTGTCCATGCTGTGTTAGGATCCCAGCCTTGTAAGTCTGGGAGGTAGGGGGAGGATTAGTCACAATTCCTCCCAGGAATTACTCAAATCTCTGCCCCAAGAAAAGGCTTCCAATGTGGTAAAGGCTACATGTATTCTGTTCCTTAAAGACCAGGCAGAAACTCAAGTGAGTTGGAAAAAGAAAAAAATAGAACATGGGCCCCAGGGCTCATTCTGCCATAGTTACAAATAAGAGTTCTGACTCAAATATATCACACGTTCTCTAAAATATGGGAGTCATTCAATTTAAAAAAAAAAGACTCTCATAGTTATTCAGAATCAACTTCAAGAACAACTAAAAAACTGCTTAATTAACTTAGTTTCAGAGAATTGGGGTCCATTTCTTTTTGAAAATTTAACTGGGTTCTTCATGAACTCTCTGCACCATTCCAACACAGCCATATTTCCTTAATGACCCAGACCTAGATGCCCTAGGTCTCTGTGGGTTAGAACAGTGTCTCAGGGCTTGAACATTGAGTTTATCAGAAGTTCCAAGTATATTATGGATGGAGACAATTTTCTTAGGATTGAACAGAGAGGTCAGGGTGGATGTAGTAGAAGAGATGGGTGAGTGTTTGAGGATTTGGTCTGAGATCATGGCAGATCTTAGAGGTCATACAAAAAAAATGCTTATATTGCTGCATAAGATTTGGTAGTCATTGTTTTCTCTAGTGCTGGGTCCAAACCCTGAAGTTTTTAGAACTGTTAATCTAGAGTGTAGAGTTCAAATCCAACATTTTATATACATGCGAAGCAAAGCACAAGATCTGAGCAGAGATAATGACAGACCTTAAGAATCCCAGATTTTTTCATAGCTTCATGTTCACATCTGAAAATATATGCTTCTGTCTAGGAAGGCAATGAAATGAAGTATTCTGAGATTAAATGAAGCTTACTGATATGTCTGGATATTTGCATGTTTTTTTTCAGTGTTTAGGGTTAGGGTTAGGGTTAGGTCTCACTAGTAGGAAGCATTTCCAAAGACACATGATACAGCCCACCCATAAGCACAAAGCAAAAGGTGGAGACCCAGAAGAAATCCAGGCTGAAAGGAAACTGCTATTTTCTCTGAGAAGCAAAAGGACTACAAGCTGACATCATCACTGAGGTTTTATGATGTCCTTGATTGTTAAGTTCTGGTAAACAGAACAGGCTAATGAATGAGCCATAGCCAGGAGATCCCCTCCCTTAGCTGAGCAACTGGTCCCAGGCTAAGCTGTCGCTGCTTCTTTTATCTTTAATAATGATGCAAATCTCAGATGGCTGGTTCATAAAATAAATGAAGTCCTAGAGCTCAGCCTAAATGCTTTGTACTCCGGGGACGCACGCTTAGCATGATTCTTCCTTTTGTGCATACATGCAGAGAATATGGTTAGAGTCGTGCAAGAGTGTGATACAGTCTGGTAGAATTTGACTATGTGTTATACCTTCTGGAGTCTACGTAATGTGTGGGGCTCGATGAAATCTGCCAAAATGTACATGGGCCACTGAGAGGTAGGCTTTCTCTAGAGAAACAGTAGACACTGAGAGTATCAAACATCCAGGCTGACAGGAAGCTCATTTGGTGCAGCATAGAAGAACATAGAAGTCCCTCTAGATTTCTTTAACTGTCTAGCACATCTTAGCCCACTTCCACAGCTGCTTCCTTGTAGGTGATACCAAGGTTTCATTACTCAGTAGTGTCACTTTGGGACACAGGGACAGTGGACTGATTGAATAACAAGTGGTGTCAATATAAACTTCCTCTCAATTCGAGATGGTTCTAATCAGCTTCTTACTGCCCCAAGAGACCTCCTAAGTCCACAACGTTTGATTCCCCAGCTTCCTGCGACACACACTGACACTAATGGTCATATGTCTGAGCTAGCCTAACTCTGAAGCAACTCTACAATGATGCTATTGAGTCATTAAAAAAAATGGATTTCTTAGACAGAGTAAAAATATTCTAAGATAAGGATCTCCTGCTTTAGATACTGTGCTTTAGCGTCAAATCCAGCAAACTTGTCCTTACAATTTACCAAACCCATTTTAAAACAAAATGGTTTGAATAAGACCATTCCCTCCTCTCTTTTGGGGGAAATCAGAAGCACATCTGTTGAGGCAACTGCATCAACAATCTCGACACATTTTTCTGTCATCCTTTCCCATCCCCTTCATAGAATGAATTCTACTTTTCCTTCTTGTCACCTAGCATCTCCATCACCTGCATCACAAGATGCTCTGACCATGATGGTGGTTGTTCTTTAGCCTTCTCAAATGCATTATTCTGCCTCCTGCTCTCACCCAATCATTAGAACTATGCTTAGTTAAAGCCCTGAATTGGGACCAATGTTTAAGTCATATAGCACAGGCTTGCTCGCGGCG